CCCTGTCTCTTCCCCCATCTTCCTCCTTCCACCCCCTTCTTCCACTCCTTCCTCCCTCGCCCCCTTTCCTCCTCCCTCCTCCTTCCTTTTGTCGCCCCCCTTGCCCCCTCCTTCCTCCCGCCACCCCACCCCCTCCTCTCCCCCTTCCCCTTCCGTCCTCACTCGCCGCTTCCGCTTGGTACTTCCTCAGCCTTGACTCGAGACTGGGGCCCTCGCTTCGGCGCCGTTTTTGGGGGGGGTCCAAGAGGCCGCGTTGAACTGCAGTAACTATTAGTTTTGGAGAGGGCAAAAATAATGTGGAAAAAGAAGACGGCTGACGTCCAGGAACTCCAAGGATCGACGGTCGAAAGATTAACATCGGGGATTCCTTGAGGGGGCGTGGAGGGGCAGGTGGTGGATGCGAGCACGGGAGCGGCGGCGCCCGGGGGCGCGAGCGTCCAGGGTCACGCGCCGAGGCCGCAGGATGGCGGCGCAACAGTTCGAACGAGGATTTGGAACCACCGCGTCCTCGGATGTACTGCTACTGCAACTGTTCCTCCATCCTCCCCGTCCTCCCCCCCTCCTCCTTCATCCTCCCCCTCCTCCTCCTCGCCCTCTTCCTCTGACTCATCTTCTCTCCCCCCATCGTCCTCTTTTTCCTCCTCCGAGATGTGGGGCGCGCGCGAGGCGAATGCGATGGCGATGTGCCGCTCGAGCTGTGGATGTCGAAGTTCCTCAGAAGAGGTGGTGGCAATGCTTTCGTGGGCGGGGGATCTGGGCGAGGGAATATCGGGCCCCGCATGCTGGAACACCCCCCATGATGGGGTGTGGTATCCAGAAGGATGCATATGACATGTGGACGCATGGCGCATGATGGTAAAAAGGTTTGTTGTTGTTGTGTGGTTATTGTTGTTGTTGTTGAACATTATTTCTTCTTAAGAATAATTATTGTTGGGACCCCTGGTGCACGACCCCCCCGCCGCGCCTAGGCCGCAGCCACATTTTCATCATTTTCGTGAGGAAGTCTCAGGCAAAACGATTGGTACCGGATCCGGTTGTTTTGTTGACGCTCGTTTTCCCTTGCAAAAAACATAGAAAATGAAAATTCTTGTTCTTAGTTGATCAAATTGCAAGAATCCCTTGCAAAAAATAAGGTAAAGTGGACATTCGTGCGCGCAAGACGAAATCCTTCCAAAACCTTAGGTTTCGTAGCGATTTTAACATAAAAACATCAAAAACCCAATGGTTTTTTAAGAAAAAATTGTCAAAATGTCCTTCCGCGCGCGCTGTCCGAATCCCACAAAACCAATGGTTTTTCAACATTTATGTTACATGAGCTCGCGCGAGCTACTTTTTCTTGTTCTAACATAATCAAATTTCAATAATCCCTTGCAAAAAATAAGGTACAGTGGACATTCGCGCGCGCAAGACGAAATCCTTCCAGAACCTTAGGTTTCGTAACGATTTCAACATAAAAACATCAAAAACCCAATGGTTTTTCAAAAAAAAATGTCCAAATTTCATCCCGCGCGCGCTGTCCGACTCCCACAAAACCAATGGTTTTTCAACATTTATGTTACATGAGCTCGCGCGAGCTACTTTTTCTTGTTCTAACATAATCAAATTTCAATACTCCCTTGCAAAAAAAAGTAAAGTGGACATTCGCGCGCGCAAGACCAACAAAAAACACGACGATCTCAGGAACTTGCCCCAAAAATGTGACCAACTCCGCTCTCTCTGTCTCTCTCTCTGTCTGCTCTCTGTCTCTCTCTCTGTCTGTCTGTGTCATGTATTGTATGTCACAATTGCAGGATGCTGGGCACACGCGCGCCCCGAATAAGTGACCAAGTTCTGTGGGTGTGTACCCCACGCCAGTGTAGTAGCCACGGTCGTCCGCACGCCACGAAGTGAAGTGTCCCAACGTCATAGGGCGGGAAGCTGGGTTTGGGTGGTCGCGAAGAGTCGTTTGGATATTTGGTAGAGCTTGTAATGCCCCCCCACGAAGTGGGGGTATTGTCTCGCGTCGCATGAAAACCCTGGCACTGGGAGAACACTGAGCGTTCGGGTAAAATGATTGATGTTGTTGTTGTTGTTGTTGTTGTTGTTGTTGTTGTTGTTGTTGAACATTATTCCTTCTAAAGAATATTATTGTTGGGACCCCTGGTGCGCGACCTCTGCGCCGCGCCTAGGCCGCAGCTACATTTTCATCATTTTTTCGCGAAAGCTTCAGAAAAGTGGATGAGCTCCGGATCCGGTTTTTTGTTGACGCTCGTTTTCCCTTGCAAAAAACAATAGAAAATGAAAATTCTTGTTCTTACTTGATCAAATTGCAAGAATCCCTTGCAAAAAATAAGGTAAAGTGGACATTCGTGCGCGCAAGACGAAATCCTTCCAAAACCTTAGGTTTCGTAACGATTTTAACATAAAAACATCAAAAACCCAATGGTTTTTTAAGAAAAAATTGTCAAAATGTCCTTCCGCGCGCGCTGTCCGAATCCCACAAAACCAATGGTTTTTCAACATTTATGTTACATGAGCTCGCGCGAGCTACTTTTTCTTGTTCTAACATAATCAAATTTCAATAATCCCTTGCAAAAAATAAGGTAAAGTGGACATTCGCGCGCGCAAGACGAAATCCTTCCAGAACCTTAGGTTTCGTAACGATTTCAACATAAAAACATCAAAAACCCAATGGTTTTTCAAAAAAAATGTCCAAATTTCATCCCGCGCGCGCTGTCCGACTCCCACAAAACCAATGGTTTTTCAACATTTATGTTACATGAGCTCGCGCGAGCTACTTTTTCTTGTTCTAACATAATCAAATTTCAATACTCCCTTGCAAAAAAAAGTAAAGTGGACATTCGCGCGCGCAAGACCAACAAAAAACACGACGATCTCAGGAACTTGCCCCAAAAATGTGACCAACTCCGCTCTCTCTGTCTCTCTCTCTGTCTGCTCTCTGTCTCTCTCTCTGTCTGTCTGTGTCATGTATTGTATGTCACAATTGCAGGATGCTGGGCACACGCGCGCCCCGAATAAGTGACCAAGTTCTGTGGGTGTGTACCCCACGCCAGTGTAGTAGCCACGGTCGTCCGCACGCCACGAAGTGAAGTGTCCCAACGTCATAGGGCGGGAAGCTGGGTTTGGGTGGTCGCGAAGAGTCGTTTGGATATTTGGTAGAGCTTGAACTGCCCCCCCACGAAGTGGGGGTATTGTCTCGCGTCGCATGAAAACCCTGGCACTGGTGAGAACACTGAGCGTTCGGGTAAAATGATTGTTGTTGTTGTTGTTGTTGTTGTTTGTTGTCGCCCTCCCCCCGCGACCCGCCCGCGACCCGCCCCGCGACCCGCCCCGCGACCCGCCCCGCGACCCGCCCCGCGACCCGCCAGCGACCATCCCCGCGACCCACCCGCGACCCGCCCACGACCCACCCGCGAAATACCGGGAGAGCGGCGGCAACGAGCGAAGGGGCCGCCGACCACGGACTGGCGCGCCGCCCGCGCCGCCGCTTTTGCGGCGGAAGGCCTGCCGGGCAGGGCTGCGCCGCCTTGACCGCCGCGGGCCCGCGGCGCCAGAGCGGGGGGCCGCGGCGGCCCTCGAGAGGCTGCGCCCGCCCTGCCTTTAGGTCGCCTGGGAGAG